CTTGTAAGAAGACGGTTGGGTTTGTTAAAAGACCTCATATCAGAATGTGGCCTTAAGGTGAGGATGGATCTGGTTAAATCGCAATTTAACAAAGCAGATCGCCTGACGAGAGTTCCTAAAAAGTGGTTGGCAAGAGAGGAGGAAAAGACCAGTATTGCAATGATGGGTGAAGAAGAGGAGGAAAAGACCAGTATTGCAATGATGGGTGAAGAAGAGGATGAGGATAAACAAAAGTTGGTCAAAAGAATCCATGGTCTGCATCACTTTGGTGTTAATCGAACTCTTTTCACAGTTAGGCGTTGTTACCCAGCCGTTGAGTTTAGTAAACAGGACGTTGACTGCGTAGTCAAATCATGCAAAGAATGTTTATCTGTTGATCCTTCCCCTATCAAATGGAAGCCGGGGCACTTGGATTGCGACAAGAATTGGCACAGGCTTGCGATTGATGTGACTCATTATGGGTCATATAAATTTATTACAATTATAGATTGTGGTCCAAGTCGGTTTTGCATTTGGCGACGGATCCCAAGTGAGACTAAAGAACAGGTAGTAAAAATCTTACTTGAACTGTTTTCAGAACGAGGTCCACCCCAAGAACTATTAATGGACAATAGTGCAACATTCAGATGTGAACAAATTGAACAACTGTGTGAGGAATGGGGGGTTATCCGTCGTTTTAGGTGTGTGAACCGTCCGTCCGGCAATGGAATCGTTGAACGAAACCATAGAACGATAAAGAGAATGGCAACAAGAACCAGAAGAAGTGTTCAAGAAATGGTATATTGGTATAATCTAACACCAAAAGAAGATTTGAATGAAGAGTCGACACCAAGCTCTAGATTGTTCTGCTACAGGTGGAGGTGTAAGGGCGAACCTGTAAATTGTGACGAGCAACTAAGAACTGAGTTTTCACCTGATGAACCTGTGTTTGTCAAGCCTAAAAATTCCTTATGTACTACGAGATGGAAGCCTGGTGTGGTCTCACGGCAGCTCTCACAAACCAGCGTAGAGGTTGATGGTATGCCACACCATATTGCTGATGTTCGTCGTGCTGGTGTTGACACCACGGGGGCGTGTGCTTGTGATATAAATTAGTCATCAGCTGTTTGATATTGTGAACATTTTTATTTGTTTATCTTTGGATGATTTTTATTGATTCTTGTAGTCATGGAGAAATCATTATTTACCAGAGTTGGATTGTTCTGATGTGTAAAAAAATGTTAGTTTGTTAAAGCATTAAATATCTTAATTATTTTTTTAATTTGCATGTTGATTTAATTACAGTTTTCTCACTTAAACATTTTTCATTTGTGAAAATTTGTATTTGACTAATATTGCATAACCACCCTGATCTTATTATTAAGATGGAAATGATAAAAGATTTTTAAGATGATTTAAGATTTTAAATTGTAAAATATTGATAAGAAACATCTGTAGTGAGCAATTTAGGTTAAAATGATATCGAAATTATTAGGATTAATTTTAATTTGAAGTAAGATTGGTCTTATTTGAATAATGAAAATTCTTACTTTCAAGTTGAAACCGACTTTTGCGTCTTGAAATACGGGTTTGCTACCCAGTTTTGGCTTTAATTTAGGCGAGAGCTTCCCTTTCCAAACTTTATTCACACACAACTTTCTTGGCTTCCGATCAATTTGTCATTTATCCCTCAATTAATTAAAAAGATTCCCCTTTTCCCCTCATCTGCTTTAAAATTTACGAGGGATTAATTGGGATCTTGATAACAAAATAACAGAGGTTATTTCAGGCATCGTAAAATAGTTTGACGGCCCTCTTGGAACTAACCGATTGCTTTCCCACATGGATTTAACATGGCAATGTTGGTGGAAGGATGTTTTTTCTAGTGGGGCCTTGGAAGGATACGGAAACGAACAGTAGTACAGTTATGTTGTGGCAGTTTAGAAGTCGGGTTAACGGCATGCCGGGTAGATGTGAAACGAGCCTTACTGGAATAGATCTCTCAACACATCACAGAACAAACGGTTTTATTAAATCTTTTTCGTATGACATTTAAGATCTGATTTGTTTCAAATTCAACCAAATCTTTAGACAATAATTTTAACCTTTTTTGCAATAACTTTAATAGTCGGAAAAAGTCTTATAATAATACCAATAAAAATATGTTGAGTTTTAGATTGATGTGTTTAGCTTGATGAATTGACCTAAATTCATTTGCATATAAAAATAAAATCAAATAAAAGTGCTCAATTTGTAGATGTGCTTAATTGTTTTAGGTTTCAACCAAATTTACTCCTTTAAATATATTTAGTCTATTAAGGACTAGTAGAATGATATATGAAAAGGTTGTATGTTAGGTTTAGAGAAAACAAGTGTCAATGTAAGCTAATGGGTCTTAAAAATAAATTTGGTTTAGTTGAAATATTTTCCAATTAAGTTGTTTTAACTATTGTTTTAATAAAGTAACTTACCTATAGTTATTTGCCGAGCTGGAATTATGAACCTACACTTGTTATATTCCCTCGGTATGTATACTCATAAAAATTGTCCACAAAGTTCTTAACTAAATTATATCTGCTTACCTTGAAGATGGTAGCACTCAGTAAAATAGAATTTCTCTATATTTTGACCCATTATCAATTTTTTTTATCTATTCTATCTATATATTTATTATAAATATTACAAGACACATAAATATAAATTACAGATATTACTAAAAATTTTGATTCTTTCAATATATATATTGGATGCCTGCTCCATCTTCGAATTCTCGAGCAGATCTCCATTTTTTCCGAGATCTTCTCAGACACATGCTTGTTGCCCTTAAAATTGAGCAAGTCAGTCTCGTTCTTATCCAATTGACTACTAGGCTGTAAGGCTTAACCCATTTTTCTGACAATCTTTCAGCTAATGCTCTTATTAGTGTTTGGAAATCATTGCCTAGGATTCCGCAAACTGATGTAATCAAAGGGGTGAAAGAGGCATTCCGGTTCTCACAAGCTGTCATATACTTTCTTTTCTTTTCTTCTTCTGCATTTTTTATGACATTGTCATGAGGTTTGGAAACATATGAGGGAGCATCGGTGTCTACGACACGGATATCAAATAATGCATCCCTCTGTGTTTCCCACACCCCTCTACATGCCAAATCAGCTTTGATTGCAGGCCCGTTTGCATTTCCATTATCTGCTATAAGGGGCTCTTTTATACAATTCCCCATGCCTGTTCCATTATATTTCCTAAAGTATCTCTAATTTCATTGTGCCTTTTTATAATTAGGCCACCTACAGGTCATATAAGGGCATGGTCTGTGTTAAATTCTTTTCCACAGCCATCACATTTGGTTGGTAAATTGATTGGTGTCCGACCATATCTCAGTGCCAGGGAATCCCTAAATTCTTGGGGTGACATGTCTAAATTTAATTTCTTCAGTGGTATACAGGATAACCAGCTACCATGTTTTGATTTAGTGTCAGCATTTCGTAGTATTACATTTTGTCTTTGTCGTGAAAAACATTTTACATTTTCATTTAATAATTTGTTTTCTTCAGTTTTCTTTTGTTCACTATGGATTTTTAATGTTTTTTTTTAAGGTATCTTCATGCTCACTTAACTCGAAAGAGGTTTTTAATGCAAGAGATTGCAATAGAACGTCGCACCCTCTTTTTGAAGTTTCATATATGTGTTTTGATTGCATAACTGGATCAGCCATCCCTATTCCTCCGCCTTTTACTGTTAGATGAAGTAATTCATGCTCTTCTTTACATAGGCCTTCTTCTAATCCAAACAGATTGGGGAAAAGTGATGTTCTTATAGTGTGCTGGATTGGACTGAACATTTCTGGTTCAACTTTTACTAGTCTCTGGAAAAAGGTCCATTCTGCTTGTAATGATTTTTTAGGAACAGTATGGGCTGATTGAGGGTGTTTTTCAGCAATCTCAGCAATATTTTCAACACGCTGGGTCCAGGCATTGATCTTTTCTGCTGCAAATTTTTTCTTTTCTTCCTCGCAGCCAATAAAGCCTGATAAAAACTTGCTGCCATGAACCACTTCCATTCCCTCTATTTGTTTCATAGCTTTTTTTGGGAATTTCAAAATCATGGTTCCAAATTAGTTTGGTTTTTTTTGCTTGGGGGTAGTATCCATATTTTGGACCTATTTCTCTAAGTTTTTGCCACCATTGTATCACATTATTAAGGGATCCTTGACAAGATGAATCATCTGCATACCAGGTCTGGAAAACATCTGGCATTATTTTTAATTCCTGAATTAGTGGAAGAGTTGCTAATCCATACAAAATCATTGATAAAGGGTCACCTTGGGTGACACCTTCTTTGCTGAATAGTCTTTTACTAGTTCCAGGGATTATCAAGTCTGCGTTGCATTGATAAGTGTTGTAAATAAATCTGGCAGCTCTTGGCCAATGTAGCCTTGCTTGCCACAATGCATTTGCTCTGTTAATTTTATTAAAGGCATTATCAGCATCAACTAATATCATGCACCATTCATTTGTATTATCAAAATTCTCGTCCATAACATTTGCAGTTTCATTGAAGAAACGCTGAGTGGTTATTTTTATGTACATGTTTTCAGGTAGGCTACCTATATACGACCAATAAAAACTGTGTTATAAAATGTAATGGCATTTGTTGATTCTCTTTCATCGGATTTATAGTATATTCGAAATATTCATTGAATTGCAATAACTCTTGGTTGAAAATAAGTTTTTTAACGAAGCCCAAATCGTTCTTAAACAGAATGTTAAAGACAGAGAAGAGGTACACTGTCCCTACCTATCGGTACTAAGCTGAACTACAGCGAGTGGTATTGACAACTGCCGCTACCTGTGCGTCAAATCTAGAACTATGTTCTGCATTGTCGGCAGCTCTGAGTATTTATAGGACTGCAATACCAATACCATTGGCTACTCATTTACAATTCAAAAGGGTAGTATATAATCAATACTACACTACCATGCAATAAATATGTAGTAGGCTACACAAACACTGTTCCTCCCTACCTTGCCGCAGTTGGAGTTCCTAAGGACACCAATTGCATGTTCTCTGTACTCCTTGTCTAAGTGGTCATGCTGGGCCTGGATCCGTCTGCAAACAAATATGCTTTACATATTTACTACCATTAAACATTTAAGCTATATTTATTACAAAAAGAATGTGCCCACTTTCAGCTTTTTTATTTTAATTTTATAAAATAAAAATTACTTAAACTGATTACTTAAGCCATCAATTAAGTAACGTTATCTTTAAACTACTTAAACAAACATGTACATGTAGTATATGTTACAAAATAAGGGATAGCAGCTATCTATTCAATACTTTGTAATACTTTGTTTAATCCTAAAAAATTTTTTTGTTATTACTAACAATTAATGTACACATTTTCTTTTTATATTTAGTTTTCAACTCATAAATGTTTTTTAGCTTTTGAATTTATATTAAATGATATCAGGTACCAAAAAAGTTATATGTGCCAAACAGATGTATTTCATTCTTTCTGTTTTAAACTTTAAGTCGTTAATCCAAACTTATAAAGGGGCAACACTTAAAAAGGAAACAATTTTCAAAGATAAGGTATCATCTGATGATAAAACACTTCTTTCAACTAACAAAGTTTGGTTGTAGATCAATCTTATACGGAAGGTAAACAACTCCTGGCCGATCCGTTACATCTATTCTGTTTGCAATAGATGTTAACGAATGAAACTGGTTCTAATGAAATTCTAAAAAAGCCTCATTAGAACCAGCAAATAATTTCTTGCTGTACATAATGGCACATACAAGATGGTCAGTATTGTCTGTACATAATATCACTTACGATATGGCCAGAACGAGCTGTTACATATGTATGTGACAAGATGACCAGTATTAGCTGTACATAATGCCACATACGAGATGGTCAGTATTAGCTGTACATAATGCCACATACGAGATGGTCAGTATTAGCTGTACATAATGCCACATACGAGATGGTCAGTATTAGCTGTACATAATGCCAGATAAGAGATGGTCAGTATTAGCTGTACATAATGCCACATACGAGATGGTCAGTATTAGCTGTACATAATGCCACATACGAGATGGTCAGTATTAGCTGTACATAATGCCACATACGAGATGCCCAAGTATAAGTTGTACATAATGCCACATACGAGATGGTCAGTATTAGCTGTACATAATGCCACATACGAGATGCCCAAGTATAAGTTGTACATAATGCCACATACGAGATGCCCAAGTATAAGTTGTACATAATGCCACATACGAGATGCCCAAGTATAAGTTGTACATAATGCCACATACGAGATGGTCAGTATTAGCTGTACATTATGCCATATACGAGATGGTCAGTATTATCTGTACATAATGCCACATACAAAATGGTCAGTATTATCTGTACATAATGCCACATACGAGATGGTCAGTATTATCTGCACATAATGCCACACACGAGATGGTCAGTATTAGCTGTACATAATGCCACATACGAGATGGTCAGTATTATCTGTACATAATGCCACATACGAGATGGTCAGTATTATCTGTACATAATGCCACATACGAGATGGTCAGTATTATCTGTACATAATGCCACATACGAGATGGTCAGTATTATCTGCACATAATGCCACATACGAGATGGTCAGTATTATCTGCACATAATGTCACTTACGAGATGATCAGTATTAGCTGTACATAATGCCAGATAAGAGATGGTCAGTATTAGCTGTACATAATGCCACTTACGAGATGCCCAAGTATGAGTTGTACATAATGCCACATACGCGATGGTCAGTATTATCTGTACATAATGCCACAAACGAGATGCCAAGCATGAGTTGTACATAATGTCACTTACGAGATGGCCAGAATGAGCTCCTGTTTCTGATGCTCCTTTGCCTTGATGGAGCCTCCCTCTGCCAAAGCACATTGCAGATCTCTTTGCAGAACATTGAGCTTACGGCGCTCAGCTTCAAGTAGCAAGCTCGTCACCTGAAGCATGAAGAGCAATATGAGTTTAGTATTAGATGGAGAACAAAATCCAATAAACTATTTCACAAATAATTGGTATGTCCTAGAAAGATAAAGTTCGTTTTCTACTATGAAAGTGTGTTTACATATAACAGAAGAACTCAATTAGCCTTACTCCTAACACAAAATCATGAACCTTTTAAAGAGTTTTAGTATTATCAATATATTTTTAGTGGATGTATTTAAATACACTTGATACGCTGAAACATTGTGATTTCTCAACTATTTACTATACGATCTTTTTGAATTTTATAGGAAATTTTAAACGTAAAATAAAAGTGTACTTTGAATTTTTTCCTAAAACTAGGTAACAGTTATTTTTTTATTTAAGTTCTAAAAATTGGAATGGCCACCATTTTGAAACCAAAATCATTTTTTGTAATGGTTACTTTTCCGTATACACATTTTGACTAAAAAAAAACTGTTTATCGAGTTTCATAATGATGACTGAAATAGTTCTTGAGATATAAATTTAAAACACAAAATAAAAAATGGCGGATATCTCACTAACAAGGCATTTTTATAAAATAAGTTATTCTTGATTTTCGTTTTATTTTGAATAAATAAACCTATTCCTGAAATTGTTGTACTTACTCACGGTACTCCCTGTCTAATCAGATTAAAAATATGGGGCCACGTGCTATTTGTTTACGATGCTCTTCAATTTAAAACTATCAACATTTGCCTTTATGCAGGTAGACTTCTAATAATAATGTGTTAATGTTATAATAATGTCTCGTTAACGTGTTTGCATGTAGCTCTTGAACATTTCCAACATAATATCCAAGTAAACTGAGTAAAATACAGTTTTAGCTGAATACTCTTGATTTTCGTGAGAAGTTCAGGCTTACAGTTAGTTAAATATAAATATCAGAACTTTAAAATCATGTTGAGCACAAAAACATTTTCTCGTATCAACCCTCATGAAAATACCCGACGCTATAATTGCAGGTACTGCTTTATCCGCACGTGGGTCGAGTGTGGATAAATTGCTTCACAGCTGAGCCATTACTCTGCCGAAACAACGCTCCATGTAAGTCCAAACTCGTCATTATTATTGGCCATTACAGTCATCTACCTGCGCCCCTGCAGTAAGTGGTTTTCACTTTTAAGGAAGCATCCTAATAGATTTAAACTCAGAGTGACACTTTAATTTTACCATTGTACATAAACAACTCAAAACATTTGCATGTACGCAAACTGCAGATCCACAACATAATATAAACGCTAAATTTTTGAAGGGATTATAATGAATGTTTTATGAGTTACAGGATGCACTTGAGTTTTAAAGATATTGTGTTACCATATGATGTTAATGATGTTGCTATCAGAATTATATATTTTGTAAACGCCACACAAAGAAATTGCGTGGCTATTAATTATTCTACTTTATTTTACAAGTTCCTATAATCTCTAGTCTAAGAGGTCAGATAAAAATAAACGATGTCAACAATCTGACACATACTTTCTCCCATTAGCTCGTTAACAACCTTTGTCATAGTTGGTGGGAGTAACTAAGACATATTAGGGGAAAATTGTCAATAATTTAGGAAAAATCACAAAAGTTGCTATAACTTTTGAACATTATTTGTTACATCGGGGGGCTGCATTATTTTGTTTAGTATTATAAGGATCAAAACAGATTAATTTTAATAAAACCCGGCTTTTCCTGAAATTCGACTTTTTGTCATTTTATAAATTTTTATAGAACAATCACCATTAAAAATTAAAATTAAAAATATACTATTAAGTAAAACACCTGGAGATACCATGGATTAGTGCCAACTTACTAAATATGACATCAAAATTGGACTTCAGGTGTGATCTGTAACTGTACAAATCCACACATACAAACACACACACACACACACAGAACGTCAATTTAAAACCCGCTATTTTTGGCTCAGGTCACCCAAAATGCATATATCCACTCAAAACTTAAACTCAAAAATTTTAACGAAAACAATACTTTTCCATATACTATGGTATAGGTGGAGAAAGTAAAAGTAATGGAAACAAAAATACTGGTTGCTTTTTAAGTGCTTGTTGTATAATTAAGAAAGAGGATGGTATATTTACTAAAACAAATCCTACTGTATGTGGAATGTTTATGATTTAATTTTAAAGTAGACGTTAGTCATATGTGTGGCAGTAATGCTGGGTTTGAAATGAGTTGAGCAGACAAAGTTTCTTGTTTAGTTATCTTACCAATGTTTAGTTATGTCACACACAATATTTGTACCAAGTTTATACCAACGTTTATACAAGTTATGAAACAAACACAACAAACAAACAAACAAATCTATGTGTAACCTATTCGGAGGGAAATTTAAAAAATGCCAGATAAAAAAACATGCTTAAAAATTGGCCGTGTTATTAGACCGTGTTAGATCCACACCCTCTTTAATAATGTTATCTCTAGAGAAAGTTCACAGTATGGCGACAAGCTATGGAGGGACAAGTAGAAAACAAACACATAGTTGACTGTGTGGGCCAAGTTGTTTGTTTTCAACACTAAAGTGGTCTCTAAAGTAAATAGGTAAGGGCTTCAACGGACATTCGCGTAAAATATGGCTCAGGGGTTCTACTATTAATTCCAAATATAGCAGTTTTACGACTTGACTCATTTTTGTAAGCCACGTTTTAATACGTCTTAATTGGTAAATCTAATATTTAAAACCATTTATAAGAGTTGTATTTAATACTTTAAAGCTGCTTAAGAATACAAACTATGATGTTACCACTCATTTTAGAACAGTGGTATGCTCGGAATTAAAATAAGAGTAATAAATTACATAAAGCATTAAATTTTCACAATTATTTCTATATTTTTTATGGTAAAATGTATAAGTAAATTAATAAACGAGTAAGAAAGTAATTGTATTAAACCTAAACAAACAATATTTCACTTATATGGACATTCATTAATATTTACTTTTAAAAAGCTCATCCTGAGAAATTTGAAAGCCCGGGGAAAGATCCCTAGATTGATATTGAAACAGTGTATATAGTATATAGTAATCCAGTGTATAATTAATCGTCTTTGAGCAAAGTTTCAAATCAGTTGGTCTTTGAGTATACAGTACCATTTGAACTTTGCCTCCACGATACCTGTCGTGTGTCGTCTAGTGTCCGGGTCCGGGACGACACAGTGACCGTGTACAGTAATGTCGTCTGCAGCTACCGTTACTACAGGTCACAGGTTTATCGTCATTTGCCGCTCTTGCAGACTAATAGACACGACGTGTTCTACAATCCCGATCCTACTTTCTTTTCATAGAACTTCGCGGTTCAACTGGCTATTCAATACTCAACACGAGTACAAGACATAACTCGTTCTGAATCCGTTATACTACTTAGAATCTTCCTGATAATTAATTACTTCACGATGGTACGAGGTACACATGGTATACATGGTTACGTTTACCTCTAGTTGCAGCCCAAAGAGTTGACGTGTTCTGTCCCTGTCCCTGGCAGGCGGCTCCTCCGCCATCCTCTGAAACAAACAGTCAACAATCACTAATTCTGTTTTAAACACATTTTCAGCGATAAAAGAGATAGTTTAATATACTGAATTAAGTCGTGGCCTCATGCAGATAAAATCAGAAAGATGTTGTAGATTTTGATGAAAGCTTAACATAAATAACATAAGAAGCTTTTTTAAGCACAACTAGCACTTTTCGGAATGAATGTTCATATTCCACTGGTAAGGTGAAAGTAACTTTTTGTTTGGCTGTTTTAAAAGGAGTATGCTACCATGACGAAGGTCGTTTGCATGTGACATTGCACAACTAGTCTTTCAACTATCGACAACAACTTTGCTAATGAAGTCGTACAATGAGACTAGACGCTGCCTTGAAATGGCTCAATCACTGGTGAAAGTAACTGCGGCAATGGTGCAACGGGAGCTTAAATCAGGTAAACCAACTGATAAAACGGGGCTATTGTTTAGCAAATTATACATAACGAATGAAAGGTACGAACAGTCACGACTGCGACGCTAGGAACTATGAAAAGGAAAAGCTAAATTTATTTCTTAATCCCACAAACGGAATGATTCTAATCAGATGTAGATTATTTGTACGCCTTAATACACTTTTTAACTAATTTATGGGTAAGCCCACTACTAATACTATATCTAACTAGGTTTATATCTTAGTACCATGCAAAAATTAAAGTTTATAATTGGAATACGAATTTGATATTCTTTCAAAAGCAAAAGGTTTGCACGATGAATCAACAACCTTCAGAGCAATGGCCTTTACTGTGCACACTAGGTGCTCTCAACTAAAGTGTGTCGATGGTTTTAGTTCGATTAAACTCTGAGAGGACTCTAAGTGCAAATTACAATAATTTAGAATTACTAAAATGATTTAACGCAAAAAGATCTGATTTTGAGTATGTTTTGAATATGTTATATTAATAAACTATTTAACGGACTTGTTTGAAGAATGACAACACCGACATTTATGAAATGTTGGTTGAAGTTATGACCACCATCTGATGGGAAGTAAGTCATTTTCTAACAACCGGCTGACCTTGCCAATGTTACTTGCTATCTCCAGATCTGACCCACTTGCCAGTATAGAGCCAGCCAATGACTGTATAGTGTATAGTGTTGTGGTGGTACCAGACCCAGCTACGACTCGTGGCTGTAACCCATACTTTCTCCAACTGTGGTCGACTGTCGACGGTGGTTCCGGGGGAAATATCGTGACTAAAACATATATCTACATTTCAACTACCAAATCTTGAACTCTCAGGGCTTAAGTTCTGGAAACCACTCTTGACAAAACCCGTGTTTACTGTATAAGAACATTTCTTAGCGTCAGATGTTCGGTCGTATTGAAAGAACAACCTATAAATTTGTTTGGTTATTTACGTAACCTAGATTATATATAAAAGACATTTATTGTATAGGAATACAAACTTTACCTCAACATTTAGATCCAGGAGAACTATAAAATAATTACTAACATGGTAATAAAATTCCTTTACCGTCTAGGTTTGCATAGCTTGAAAGCAATCGTAATGGCCTGTACTATGTGGGCTCCTGGATATGTACCAAGCATAAATCTTAGATCTGACCCAGTTCAGTAGCCTCTTTGGAGCCATTTATAACCAACCTCTCTCCTTATAAGGGCTATATAACATATAACAGCTGCATTGACTTTTAACAGGGCGTGTTCTGTGCATTTTAGGAATGCATAATTTTTGTGTAGTTAAATCGTAAACTTATAAGCAGTAGAAGTGGACATTTCTGTTTATACTCACGTATATAATATTTCTAACATCATTGTTTCACATTAAACAATATTGTTACAAAAATAATGAATGTGTTTCTGCAACAATAACTACTTGTCGAAATGTTTGACAATGCTAACAGTGAAAACTCTGTTGAAACTGATCAATACGGTTGAAAACTATCTTTATATATGATAAATAAAATCGTGACATTGCTTCAGTATATTTAAATAATTTACTAAATAACTTAGAATATAAATTAGTTGTATATTAATTTGCTGTAAACCGTTTCTTGACCGTTAGAAGGTATATAAAGAATACATATAAAGATATAAAATATCGACACTTCATACTTGAAAAGTGGTTTGTTGTCCATGCATGATAATAGTATTAACAGTGCCTGACAGCGGTATTGAGAAAATATCAATTAGCGTTTACATTAAAGGAACTATCATTGAATCATTGTCGTTACTTGGAACGTTGCATTGTATTGTATTATGTTGTAATCCCTACTAGAATTGTCAAGCACTTTCCATAGCTTGGAAAAGTATTAATATCTATAACTATATTCTTTTAAAGGACTTTCGTTGTATTCACTTAAAAGTTTAACATGTATGATTCTGTATTGTATTATGTGTTATGAAACACTAATTTTAATTAAACTTATGCTGGTTTGAACTAGCAGTTTAATGTTAAGTTAAAGCAGATTTAACTTGATACTTAACCTTAGACACTGCAAAAAAATGTAGGACTAATGACTAATAAACTTTAAGTTGAACACTATGGTATAAACATAAATTAGTGTAAAAGTGTAATAAGGCGTTCAAATAAACTATTAATAAAATGTATTTGTGTAGTATTCACAAGGTTAAAAGATAAAGTGAGTTAAACAATGTTTGCAATCCACAATATTCAGAATCCGTTATTGCAAATAAACAGATTACGATCTTATTAATCCTCCGTTGTCAACTACTTAGTTCTTACAATACTGTTCCAATCTACTATATTATTTCAACGGACGACTAAAGATAAAAAGCCCCAAATTGTATAACAAAATAAAACTTGTTATTATTACTGATAAAACTTTACTAATTTATTCAGGGTGACTAGTCATCAGTGTTACAAAAACTGCTTAGTCTAAGTACAAAGTAAATGAAGTGTGATAATGCATATAAGAGGTTCCAAGTCTTAAACTTGTTTGACCAAAGAATTATTTTCATTTCTAAAATAACCATTTTTAAGCACAATAAAGCAATTTCTCGATTACTTGCAATCGGATTTGAATAGATGGTGTAATTTCGTGTTCTACATTACTTTGAATATGAAGAAATGATAACGTTGAAGAATCAATCATAAAAATTCCATTGTAAATACAGTAGTTCCAAATAATAAAATTAAGGTCTTTGATAAACATTTAAAAAAATTTGGTCTATTTAATATTTCTACACTCTGTATAAAACAAAAATGAATGAATGAAATCTGTATAAAACTCTGTGTGAATATAGCAAAATATATTGAAAACTGCGCCATTTTAAAAGCTTTCAACCATATGCGAAACTATTGAGGTTTAGATCTGCTCATGTTCGCTTTAGTGGTTTGAAGATTCCAAAAAACTAGGTTTTTGTCATTTAAAACATAGGCATGTTATCAGCAAAACTTGTATTTTGTTTCAGTTTCAGTTTCAGTGTGAACAGTAAAAAAATCCATTGAAGAACACTTATTATAACGCTATTATTGTATTATTGTACACGAAAATGACATCATCCACTAAAATCCGTTTGCAGGTAATTGAGAGATTGTTGTATTGTGTTTAAAACACAATTATTTGAGAAATTAATTGTTTTGTCAGCTAATTTTTGGACTTGTAACCTCTTTATGCATCATCACACTTCATTAACTTTGTACTTACACCAAAACACTGTTGTAACACTGATGACCAGTATCGCTTGGTACAACCAATCTTGATCGATTGAATATAAAAACGAAGCTTTGTCGTGTTCCAACTAAACGTTATCATTATCAGCTCATATTACTATAAAATATCGTCGAGTCATGAAATTTACTATGTTCACTTTGAGAACCATGTTTTCCTAGTACCTCTACTACAGTAGTTGTAGGACCGCGCGGGTGGCAGAGTCATGGTTTGCGCAACTACCCCACACGTGGGGTGCTCGTGCTGTACGAGCCAGGGTGTTTATTTAGCCATGGGTCAACGACTCGCCTCATGGGTGAAAGGAGGCCGGGAGGAAACGACAAAACACACGAGATTAGGAACTCTCACTATTGCCTCAGATGGATAACTGGACTACACAGCTAATTCAATCGTGGATGACTCAAAATTACACGGACACTAACTAATTGATATCCCTTTCTATAATCATCAAATTGTAGTACTTAACGACTATTAAATCATGTTTTTTCAAAGCGAATAGTTGTAGTTGAAATTTATAGACTCTATGCTGGATTTGCCAAGTTCAGTAAAATTATCTGCGCACATGTACGTACGTGCGATTATTGGCTGTACTCCTAACACTCACGTCAACAAGCATTCTAGCTTCCAGACTTTTTTATTTACCAGGACTATCTATTCCACAGTTCTGTGTAGGCTCTCAGATTTTGTAAACGGTCCATACTCCATTCCACGTTTACCCTGCGATACAAAGCGCACATCAGTGACTTGAAACGGAATACAGTAACTAAATATACTAGCTGTCGTAAAACACAAGGACCCACTAAATGCTATTATCTTCGACTTTGTTCCTTCGACATTTACTATTAGTTTCGACCATATCAACGTGAACATCAAAATCATCAACTATTAAGACCAATGTAAGAAAAGCACGAGATTACAACAAATAGTAAAATTGGTCAACCTTGGGTTTACAAAATCCACGACACAATTACGGTGATGTTTCCAATAATGTTAGGAGAGCGAATTTCTTTCATAAAACCTGTAAAACACGTTGATCGTAGAATTGTGTACGACAATGGAAAAGCTCAAAGAAATATGTTAATATGATTTAATTATTCGTTCCTGATGCTCAATCTAGCAAAGCTAAGAAACAGGATTGCATGGTGAATATTATAATTTTACAATATTATTATAGCTGGGGAACGCGACTAGATAAAACAAATTTCCGACAAACATTACCGACAGCCAAGGAAAAGACACGCTACAGAGTTCTAAATTACAATTAAGTGATGGGTGGGAAATCAAACAATGCAGATGGACGGCTATCGTGACGGGCCTCC